TGTTAAGCTGTCGTCTGTCAGCAATGGTTCTATCTAAGAGGCTGCTCCCACGTCCAGAATCACTGCAAAACACAGCTGCAGAGGTCAGTCATTTGAAGGGGGGCAGGGGAAAGACACAGACTTAACCACCACTGACCCTGAAGTGCAGTAACACCCCTTTTGTGCGTTTTCGATGCTCTTTAACACTCTCTCCGTTGAGGACCAGGCATCCCGCTTGTGGCAAGGCCTGGGCTGGGATTACTTTCCATGTTCACTGTCACAAACACACGTAAACCACACCCACAGACCCTTGCTAATTTTCGCCCTTTTTGTGTCATTATAAGATACAAGAAAGAAACTTTGAAGGCAGGTTCTCGAACCACCTTAGAATGGGGAACCCACTGGATTGGCATTCTGTGTTGAATGTCTTGCACCTCATCAAGCCCGTAAACACACACCGTCCTCGAACTGCTTTACTAATCAACGGTCTACACCTCAGCCCTCACTGCCCAGGGAAGTCACCTGCCTGGGGCATTTCTAGAAGACTCTGAACCCTAGGCCCCTCTCCAGACCAAATCCATCAGCATTTCTGGGGCAGTCAACATTTTTCCAAGCTCCCCAGATGGCTCTGATGTGTAGCTGGATCTGAGAACCCCTGGCCCCTGCTTTTCCTTTCCAAGGGCAACAACAGCCATGGCCTGGTTTGTGTCCCTACTTAACACAGGAGGGAAAGGGGCTGTGAGGTCACACAGGCCAGCTGCACCACCCTTCCCTCCCCACCTTGCTCCCACAGAACGGGCTTGGCACCATTGGTTGGCAAGTCGCTTGGGAGACCACATCAGGCCCGGGTGGAATGAAACACAGGTAGCGGACGGGAGCTCATACAGACTCTTGTTTTCTTTCGTTCTAAGAAGCTTGTAAGCAAAAACAGTTACATTCTTCCTTTTTTCCTCTATCATGAGATTCCATCAAAGAAGCTCCAAAAAGCAGCCCATCTATCTCTTGAGGTTTGAGTCTATCTATAATGCTTTTCTTTGCATCTATTTTGTTTTGTCAATCTGGGGGCTCTAGGAGTGGTATTTTGTTGTTGTTGTTGTTAAGAAGTTCAAATTCTATAATAAAGGAACACAATTTCCTTCCTGCGTGCAGCTGTTGCTAAAAGTGATACAAACAAGATTTGGTATGAAACTTAATATGGTTCTCAGGCTGCAATTTCCACGTCCAGTGATGTAGTTAGAGAAATCCACAGGAAACAGATGGAAACTTGCCTCAGTACAGACTATTTGTCAGCCTATACTTATTACATCATTGGATACGCGTTTTTTGGAAACCACTCTATTCATTATTTCCGCAATTGAGAAATAATAAATGTCTCTGAGCAGAAGACAGCACAAAAGTACATGCAAATGTGCATTAATCACACTACCGACTGAACAGTTCCAACATTGGTCTGTTCATGTATATATTTTTAATATAAATATGACAAAGATATTACAAAGAGTTGTCTGAATATGGCAATGGCTCCTCACTTAGGAGCTTTCCAGAAGATGTTATCTCAACATATAGTGATATTTTTTTTTTTCAATCTCCTGGGGGATTCCAGGCCACACAATAAGGTGTTGGCATTGCAAAGGAAGGATTCGCCTGGCATTTTGGTGGACCCAATCTGAGGAAATGGATCAGAAGTGTTTGTTTTGGCCCTAACCCTCCGGGCTTCCCATCTTACCAAGTTTCAGAGCCCAAGGTTGGCTGTTACGTGTGCTGCTGGGTCCTGGGAGCCAGCCAGAGGGTGGGGGCGCGGGTGGGGGCGGGGGTGGGGTCATCTGGCTTCTTACTTTCTATCTGTCCCTAACAAGTAGGTCACTTGGGGTCTACTTTCCCTGTCAGATGAAGATAAGGGTTGTCTTCCTACATACAGCTTTGCAAGGCTGAACGGAGGTCATGTGGTCACAGCGTTCAGAAGATTTGTAACTTTTGGGTATATTCCGTGCATCGTTATCAATATACATACCTATACATGTAGCTGAGGTTAACACGGCTGGCTAATTTCTGAGGACCACTTATTCCTTGCATTCTGGTGCAATGATAAGGGTGGGAAAGCTGATTTAAGGGCCTCCTGCTCTCAATGTTAGAAACCGCAACTAAAACCCAAATCGTGACTTGTGAGCCTTATCCACTGGTAATGACACAGGATAGCCTTCCCCTCCACCAGCCCATAGTTACAACCCACAGTGCATGTTCCATAGTTCCTTTTGAAAACAGTATATAAGCAACAATTCACTCTTCAAAATGGAGATGGTTTTGTTTCCACCCTGAATGCTGGGACTGAGAATTTGGCTGGTTGCTTTAAGCAATGGTTAGTTCTACCTTTAGAGGGTACGGAGTCTTAACCCATCAAGATTTGCCTTTCCAATGACCTCTGGAATGTGGAGGAAGGGGCAAAGGGAGGCCCTGGCCAACCCTTGAGTTTCTTTGACTTTCTCTGGCCAGTGTCTCTTACAAAAGACTTCCTCTCTCCCTCTGGGGCCTTCTTGGGCCCCTCCCATGGACCACCCTCTGCCACCTTACTACCCAGTTAGCAGAGCCCAGTGCTTTAGGCTGCCAGGAGCACCTCTCAAGGAGGCAAGCAGGAAGGGAAGCAAAACCATTCCTGGTCAGTGGTGCTAGGAGACAGTTTAGGGAGAGGACAGTGGCAGGAGCCCCAGATCCATGGTACGTAAGCTACAGATCTCCATGTAGGCAGATGCACAGGTGCGGGTAACTTCTGTTCCCCGCTCAGACTGAACATTTAGAGTGCACTGTAGTGACGGTTAAAGTTATACCAGACACTGGAAGCTTCTCTTGGAAATCCTCTCTACCTTCCGTGGTACGCAGAGGTGGCCAGATGCAAGAGGCAAGCTGGCAGCGGGCTAGCAGTCAGAGCCCGGGAGTTCTTGTTGCCACCCAGCCTCTCGCCAGCTTCTGAACTAGCATGTGGCACACGTAAGTGCCGGGTGTAAGAGAGGGGCCTGGGACAGGACACCAGAGAGGGGCAGGTGGGAGAGGAGATGCCTGGTGTCCTCCAGGCCTCTGACAGCTGGGTAATAGGAATCAAGGTAAGCTCCCAATATCCCTGACCCTCAGTTCTCATCAGAAAAATGGGTATGAGAGAACATGACATTTGCCTGTTTCATGGGGCTGCTCTGAAGATGAAATGACAGCCCGCTTTGTAAACAGAAAAGCTTCACCAAAATGCTCTGGACCTTCTCTCGGTAAAAATGTTAAGTGCTGTTTGTTAGTAAGGAATAGGACTGAGGAAGAAAACATTTTCTTCCAGTTACATGGCTACATGATGGAGATGGTCCCAGTGGTAGTGGCAAGAGGGAGAAAGAAGGGGTTAACAATAAAAAAATAAAAACAGGGGCGCCTGGGTGGCTCAGTCTGTTAAGCGTCCAGCTCTTGGTTTCGGCTCAGGTCATGATCTCGTGGTTCGTGAGATCGAGCCCTGCATCGGTCTCTGTGCTGTCAGCACATGGCCTGCTTGGGATTCTCTGTCTCCCCCTCTCTCTCTGTCTTCCCCCGCCCCGCTCATACGTACTCTCTCTCATGCACGCACCCTCTCTCTGTCCCTCCCCAGCCCGTGCTCTGTCTCTCTCAAAACAAAGTAAACACTGAAAAAAAAATTTTTTTAATAAAATAAAAATAAAGAAAAAGAAGTTGGTTGCTGACTCAGGTTGGTGCAGGAAGCTTTGATGTTAGACCGGGGCTTGAATCATAGCTCTACTGCTTGCTTGTTTGGGAAAATGGAGGCAAATTATTCAGACTTATTTATTTTCCATAAAGCGGAGAGAACAGTAGTGATTCTGCAGGGCTAACGTGGGGACTGAAGGTAAGGCACAAGTGGATGGCCCAGCACAGCCATGGCCCAGGGAAGGGTCATTCAGTTCGAGGAGGCTGCTGGGGCCTTCTGGGGGATGGGGTGCTCTGCTCACAAGCCACACTGTTCCCAGTGGCAGAGTCAAAATGTGCAAGAACCAAAGGGGCTTGCTACTTTACTGGGAGAGAGGAGACGAAACAGGAAACGGGTTTCTCTCCTAAAGGCACATAAAACTGCACACCCAGCGAATAAACCCAGGCTCCTGAGATGACACACACCTTGCCACATGTACACTGGAGAGGACGCCTCCCCCCCATGCTGCTCACAGCAAGAGATGCATTCTCAGACTGCGGGTGGAGCGCTCTTTGCAAGCTGTCTGAGGCTCAGTTCAGCCACTAGCTCGGTGTGATTTTCCTTCGAGCAAAAATACAGAGCGAGTTGCAGAGAACACGAAAGCCACGTTGAGTCTCCGTGTGGCCCGCTACTGCTCATAACCATCCTCTGTGCCTCACCGCCTCCTGGGCTCTGGAGGCCTGTGTCAGCCCCGGGATGGAGCTGGGAGGGGGTGGGGACAGCGGGAAACCCTGGCAGGTCGAGCACACTCAGAAATAAGGGCGCCCTGAGTCAGGAAGTCAGTGTGGACCTTCTCTTGGTACAAAGCAGCCACTTCCCAAGATGCTTTCTGCTGTTTTCATTTTCGTTTTTTGTTTTTTGTTTTTTTTTTTAAAGCAGGGATGCTTCTTGTGCATTGGTTCATGCAATTCTACCCTCTTCTGAAACCCTGTGTGACCTGATCATAGACTCAAGGCTCTTGGACCCAGAGCTGCCCTTATCTGGAGAACTAGGAAGTATGTGATCCCTTGTCAAGACACAGCCCTCTCCTCTTTATGCTTTACTCTATTGCCAGGGTCACGTCTTGCCTGACCACGCTGGGGAGGATGTCTAAATTTGCGCAATGGTAAGGCCTACGGGAGAAACATTTATTTATATCCCAAAGAAAATAAATAAAGTTAAAAAAACAATCAGGAAGCTCCTTAATAAGGGGCTGCTCGATTGCCACCCGTCCCCCTCCTTCAAGGCTCTCTGAGTAGCAGGAGCGAGAGCTCCGCCAACTGATGGGTCCTCCTCCATCCCCCCAACCCCCCCCCCCCCCCGCACACCCCACCCAGACTCTGCCTCTGGAGCCAGGGTCCCTCCCTGCTCTGGCCCCGAAAGATCCTTCAGGAAACGGAGGAAGTATGGACACACAGCCCAGGCATTTGGTTAAGTATTTTTAAAAAGCTTTCCAATTCTGCTATTTTTTTCTCCTCACATTCAATATTCTTGGTTGCTAAGTGGGAGGAAATGTGGGGAGGTGGGAGAGGTGTGGAGAACGGAGGGAAAATTGGCAATGTGAAGGCTGATGGGTGTATTTTCTCATTTCTAAAGGGGGTACAGGCAAAGGAATGCTCCAGCACGGAAGCAACCAGCTTGGGGAGCGTCTCCTGTTAGCTGGGCTTGTGGCAAAGACTCTACCCCAAATCCTGCTGCTTCTGGTAAGCCAGGAGCGGGGGGCTTTTCGGGAACATAAGATGGGCATTTTCTATTTCTGCTGACAGACTCAGAAAAGGAGAATTAATTAAAATGATCTTTATTTTCAGAACATATCCGCAAAAGGGAAGAGGCCAGTTTCACGATTATCTTTTCACGGAGAGGAAGATGGGGCATGAGCAGTCATGTGCCACAGGCTATGTGAAGGGGACTCCTGTCTAATTGTTGCGACTCCAGCGATGCAAGGGTCGCCTGGCCGCCCGCTGGGCGTGGAACTGGACGGCGGGCTGGCTGTTCAGCGTGAGCTTCCTCCCGTCCAGCTGCACTGCCCCCAGGCCTGTGGTCACAAGTCTGTCGAATGTCAGGTCACAAACATCCATCCCCTAAGAGGGCCCTGATTTTGAATATAGTTTTTTAACTGCAGAAACTTCTATAAAACAAAATCCCACACGGAACCCCACCTGTACTCTGTGGCCTCCTTAGCGCCCATCCCACCAGCGCTCTAGGCCAGTGGCCTATTGCCTCATGGGGGACTGTGCTGGGCTAGTGACACATTTATGACACATTTACGATGTGAGTTGAACATATTTAGGCTCCTGACTTTTAAGAGCCTAGTGTGGGCTGTCCGTACATCTTGCTATGAGATTGAAAAATGTTCCTAGTGTGTCTGAGCAGTTGTCTGAGTTCACTTGAATTATTAGGTCCCTTTTCATTAAATGACGTCCTTCATAAGGCAGGACACACACCCGGAAAAACTGTTCAAGACTTGAAAAAGGGCACAACAGGTTACTGGGTGTCTTACAGCGGTGAGCTGGGGGTTGACTAGTGAACCTTCTGCAGGTTATCTGCCTCTGTGGGCAGATGAGATACGACTGATTTCTACCCTGCAAAAAAGATGACCCCCAACCATATATTTCATTGTTCTATAGGATCCTATCTTTGCATGTCCTTGCAAGTTCATTTTAGCATATCTATCTTTTGCAAATTCATTTTAGCGTTATTTATTTTTTGAATTCTTCTCTGAACCAGTCTTAACATCTTACTGGTTCCCTCGTTAATGAGGTAAATAAAATCTCGATAGGTCCTTGTTTTGTATTTGAGCCATGATTTGAACCGTTTGAAAATCATGCTTTATCCTGCCAATAGTGATACAGTGATTTCTACTCTCTTTAGAAGGACGCGGCCTATTGTCTACGGAGGCCTTTTAGATATTACCATAGGAGCCCCATCTGGAGTATACGGTTGACGAGTCTATCCACAAATTACCCGAAAGATGGTAAGACTTGTCAAAGAAGTTAACTGAATGGCTGGTTGAGAGGAATCAGAGGTCGCCCATGAACCGGGCCCTAGAGGGGCATCGCGGCAGCAGCCGCAAAAGAAACCCACGGTGTGGGGGCCTCATCGGCCACTGGAAGAAAGTCCCCTTAAGAATGGAGTGTGTGCGGCTCCATTGCTACCATCCGCTAAATGCCCATCGGCGGCGGCACTGTGGGGCGGGGACCCATGCAAACACCACACAAAGCAGGCGCTGCTGGCCTCTTACCTGGGGTTGGTTAGGTTGTAGCAGGATTTCCATATCTGCAACATGTGCTTACAGGTGAGGAGCGCCTCATCCGGGCCCCGGCACAGTGACTCCACCTTCACTTTGGAAAACAGTAGTCTACGGCGGGGAGACAAAGGGGGAAAACAACACGGCTCAAGCCAGAGTCCCCACCGGAAACCAAACACCGTGGCCTGGCCTAGACCCGGATGCGATGGTGCTCATCCTAGAAAGGGGTGTCCAAAGGCTTGATCCAGGGGAAGCCGTGGTGCAGACCAAGGATTCCAGAACTCCCAGCTCAATATACAGCTTTGTGTACTGAAGGCAAATGCAGGCACACCAAACAGGACCATCTGTGATCAGGTTAAAAGCATCAGAGTGGTTGGGGCACCTGGGTGGCTCAGTCGGTTGAGCATCCGACTTCGGCTTACGTCATGATCTTGCGGTTCACAAATTTGAGCCCCGCATCAGGCTCTGTGCTGACAGCTCAGAGCCTGGAGACTGCTAAGGATTCTGGGTCTCCCTCTCTCTCTCTCTCTCTCTCTCTCTGCCCCCTCCCCCACTCATACTCTGTCTGTCTCTCTCTCAAAAATAAATAAACATTAAAAAATTTTTTTAAAAAAGCATCAAGGTGGCTAATTTTATTGAGAACACAAGGATTTTATTAAGGCGACTTTTTAAAAAAGTTTATTTATTTATTTTGAGAGAGGGTAGGAGAGGCAGCAAAAAAGGGAGAGAGAGAATCCCAGGCAGGCTCCTCACTGACAGCACAGAGCCTGATGAGGAATTCAACCACAAACTGTGGGATCATGACCTGAGCTGAAATCAAGAGTCAGATGTTTAACCTACTGAGCCACCCAGGTGTCTCAAGAGCGGCTTTCAAACCAAGCTGTTTATTAAGAGCTTTTTAAAACAAAACCAATTCATTTGCAAAGCTTCAAAAATTCATTAAAAGGGAATCTTGATTTATTTACAAAATTACACAAGAGGTGTGACTCAGTTGATATAAGCGTCTACAAATAACCTTCCACAATGATCCTCATCATGCGATGGTGAATAAATCTCGTAAGCTTCGCAGAGCCTGAACTGCAGGCACATAAAGAAGGGGGCATCTGGCTCATGCCCTGTCCTCAGATCTTCTCAGTCCTGCTATTTATGGGTTAGGATTTCACCAACTCACTTCGTAATCACCAACTATCTCTTCCCTATTTTTGTTACCACCAATGGCTTCACCTGTCCAGACCTGCTGAGAGCTAAGCTTCGATCCTTCTCAGCCCCTCAGCTATCCCATTCCTAAATTCTACTTATGCCTTTCTGAAGACATTGGCTCCCCTGGGCCCAGAGCCCATCAGTACTATCCTTGCGAAGGCCCCAACATGAGCCCAGATACCGCCCTGGTGGTCGTCCGGTCCCCTGAGTTGCCCGGCTCTAAGAAACTGTAGATCTCTAAAAATCATTTTCATTCCCAGCTCGAGAAACTACAATGATTCCTTATTGTTTGTAATAATAAGTCAAAATTCCTTACTGAGTCCTCGAAAGTACCCTGCCCACCGGCCACTCCTGTGTCACCACCCACCCCATTCTGGGCCACACATCCCTCTGGACCCCTTTACTCCTACCAAAGGCCAGGTTTCTGTCCTAATTCTATGAATATATTTGCCGTGTCCTCAGTTTTCATCTGTATGGATGAATCTACTACTCTCCCCCATTCTTCTTAAATCCTAAACCCGGCTAAAACCCCACCTCAACAAACAAGACCACGTTTACGTCTCTGTCTTTTCTACTCCGTGTCACATCAGCTGCTGCTGGTTGTTAATGAAAATACAAAGAAGAGAGGAAGGTGCTCCTGTTTATTAAGGGTCTCCTCTGTGCCAGGCCCCGTGGTTGGCACTTCACAGACAATATCAAGGGCATCTTTGTAGCAGCTCTTCCGGCCCGGTGGTGTTTCTCTCCCTACAAGAAAAGAGCAGCGCCCCTCACTTCCGGAGTGCCTAGGATTGTGCTCAGAGGCCAGCGGGCCTTAAATCTGCATTTGCTCATTGACTGCTTTCTGTACAAATCACGGATTGTGAAATATGTGTCCAGTGATTTAAGGTAGATATGTAAGACAATTCTTCCACCACAAATGACATAACGGCTTCATTTGGAGGCACTTTAGAAGAAAAAAGTCTCCTTTTCCTCAGTGGGAGATGGAATGAGGGTGGTCCGAATGCATTACTGCCCAGGTTCCAGAAGGGGTGAGTGTCACCCGCTCCCTCCAAATGGAACACAGGATGCCCAAGGGGGTGGGTGTTGGGTGGCTCTCAGAGCCTCCTGGAGCCTGGATCTGCAGACGCCTGGGATGACAGCGACGGGTCGGGTGATGACAGGGACGCAGTCCCTGATCTACAGACAGGTGGGCATAAAGGGTGAGACCAGACGTGAGAACAGGGATGGGCATCTGCTCGAAACATCTCAGGAAGGAGAGGTTCCCAGAGGCCTTTCCAGGACTGCCCACAAAGAATGACAGCCACTCAGGGCGTCTCAAGGGGTTCCTAAGGAACCAGGTGCCGACTCCTGCCAATGTCTCCAATAGTCCAGAGAGTGGTGAGAGTTTCTTCCCACCGGAATCGGCCACCAAACATGGGTCAGCTGGGGATGTGTTACAGACGGAGGAGAAGCTGCCCAAGGGTCACCTAGCAGCATTTGGCAGAGACCTATTCAGAGGCCAGAGACCCCCTTGGGTCTGGTTGCCAAGCCATTTTGGCCAAGGAAGACCCCACCTAGGACCAGGGTGATGTTCTCTGAGAGGCACATCGAGCCCACCTGCCCCAGGGAGGGCCGCGAGATGGTGGGGAGGGTTTCCCCACACACGCTGACGGTGTGGTTCCAATCGTCCGCGACTGCTTTCACTGTACCCAAAGTACAAAATGCCAGAGCTTGTCTCCAAGCCTCAACTTGGGGGAATGGTTCCATGCAAAGCCTCTTGGCTGCAAAAAGAACTTCTAATTAACATGAAATAACAGCTTTCAAACACTTGACTCAGGATATGGAGTTGAAAAGGTGTGGGCTGGATTTAAGAGAACCAGACAGGAAGAACAATGGGGGAACGGCTGAGCACAGATGATGGGAAAGGCACCTGGAAGTGAGGCTGGAGGAACAGCATGAGAGAGAGACTGGCAGAAAGAAAGAGCTGGAAAACACGGGCAGGGGAGCAGAAGCAAAGCCTCGCAGCTGCTGTCAGGTATCTCCAATACGCTGGGCAGAACGCCCTGCCGAGCCAAACTCTGATATGTTCCCTCGGATGGGCACGTAAAAGACACAGCCTCCAGGAGACTGCTCCTTCTCACCACTTCCCCAAACCTCAGCTTGTCTACAAGCAGAGAATAATACCGAGCACAGGACAGGTGATGCTTGTCAGCATACTGGCCAAACCCTGCTCACACATTTCAAGACTGTTTGAAAACATCTGGCTGGCGGGAATGCGACATTAGCCCAGATAGGAAGGGAATGCAAACAATGATTAGCATGAGTGTGCTACAGGTGATAGCCAAAGATATTACAGATTCCACCTACTGAGGAAACCCTGAGGACAAAACAGGAAGTCATGAGAAAGCTTGGGACAAACCAGCATTGAGTACATTCCAGCACGCGGAACTACCAACCCGGCAGAGCGGGCAGAGGGGACTTCAGGCTGAGATAGTCTGCCGGTCACAGCAGCCAAGTCCGACCATGAGCTGAAGAAGTCACTTCTCTTAGTAAGAAGTCACATGCTGGGAAAGTGGTCTATTCCTATGCCCTATGCCTGGCTCAAAGGTCATTGACCTAATTAAAACAATTTTGGTTCACA